AAGATTGGTCTAACAGCGGCCAATCATTCAATGCAACTGGCTATATTAACCATCTGAAAGAGATAAATCATATGACCGTCTCAATAGATTCAAAGAAAGCATGCATCAGAATCTATTATCCATTCTGAGAAAGGTTCTCAGAAAACAAGAAACAGAAAGGAATTTCATAAGCTGATAAAGGACATTAATAAAAAATCTGGAGGGTGAGTGGACGCCGCATTTTTATTGCCCACAGACTAGGCAATTAAAAAAAAAAATCTGAAGTTAATGTCACCCTTAATGTGACATGTTTTTCCCTTGTGATCAGAATCAGGTCAGGGTGTATGATCTTGCTTCTTGTATTCAACATTGTACTGGTCGGTCTAGCCAGTGCAACAAGGCAAAAAAGGAAACAAAATGCAACTAGGTTAGAAAAAAAGATGTAAAACTGTTTATTTGAAGACACGATTGTCTATGTAGAAAATCCAATGCAATCTACCAAAAAATGCTATTACAACTAATAAATGTGTTTATCATGGTTAGAGGCGGCAAGGTCAATAATATGATTCCATTTTATTTCTATATTGTCTTAGTTCATTGGCTACTATAACTAAATATCTTAGACTAGATAGTTTACAAACAACAGAAATTTATTGTTCAGTTCTAGTGGCTGGGGAGTTCAAGACCAAGGTGTTCGCAGATTTGGTGTCTGGTAACAGGTTGCTTCAGAGATGGAATCTTGATGCTGCATTTTCACATGAAAGGGGCAAGCAGACTCCCTCAAGCTTCTTTTATAAGGGCACTAATACCATGCCCATCATGAGGGCAGGGCTGTCATGATCTAATTACCTTCTAAAGGCCCTACCTATTAATACTGTCATGTGAGGATTAAGTTCCAGAATATGAATTTTACGAAGTATATCAAAATTAAGACTGTAGCAGGTATAAATGACAAACTAATTAAAAATTGAAATTAAATATAACACTATTTATAATAGCATCGTTATTAATTACTTAAAATAAATCTGACAGATGTGCAAGACCTATTGTTTTGAGAACCCAGAGCTAAACTGGGGTTGTAGTACCACAGCGGCTTGCAACCCTGACAACAAATGAAAGTAAACTAGATATGGGTGTTTACAGAGTGCCTTTCATGGGATACTTCTTTTACCTGATGGGCAGCCTAGTTGTCTGACCCACAACCAGGGGGTCCCTCATAGGGGAATTTCGTTTATACTGGCAGACACCACTGTGGCTCTTGTCTGACCCACAATCACTCTATGCCTTTCTGACCGCTGATCTGGCACTGGGAGTCCAATCTGTGTTTCTCTGGGGCAAAACTTGGTCTGGGGTAGCCCCTTGTTCTTCAGATGGAAGGCACAAATTCAATACATCACCATAATAAGAAATAAGTTCAAAGATTTTTACTTACAGATCCTGGATAAGTCAGAAAGGCAGTCCTACATCCCCAAGTCTCAGGTAGAAATGAAGAGTCGGGCAAAGGAGGGGGACAAGAAAGGAAGAGAGGCAACTGGCAGTACACATAAGGAAAAGTAGACAGGTCACTTTACATTCCAAGATAAATGCTGGTAAAGCAGGGAGCTCAGTCTGTAGACAGAAGAGATGATAAATTTTAATTAGTGCTCTAAAAGTTATAAAGAACATAGAAATGGGCAGGTGCTACTTAGACAGGGTGGTCTAAGAATGTCTATGTGAATATTTTTGGCCAAAATATAAAGAAGCAGGAAGAGCCGGCCAGAAAAGGGAAAGATAATAATTAAAGGACAGCATTTGGGAACGCCCTAGTTAGGTAGTGGGGCAGGGGGTAGTAGAAAAGGGTCTAGTGTATTCTAAAACCCCAAAGAATGTCAATTTGGCTGGATTATAGGGAGTGCAGAGTAAAGGGAAAGACAGCCTAATGATCACATAAGAGAGGTAGACAGGGGTGAGATCATGTAGGATCATGCAGGAACTGAGATTTTATTCAAAGTGTGCTGGGAAGGCATTTTACACTTTTGACCAGGCTACAGACATGATTCGTTTTCATTTTTACTCTAGTCACTCTGATGGAGAATCAACTGGAGATATTATCATCTAAATTGTCATAGATGGTCCCCTTCCACAAAAACACATAAAAATGCCAAATACTGTATAACATATTATTTATGTAAGCAAAAAATATATATCATAGAGCTTAAAAAAAGCAAAGAAGATGTAGAAAAGGGGGTCTCTACCTAGAAATAGGTCCTGGGGGTTGGGATTCCTGCACATAATTTGAATACAAGATTGTGAAATAAAGCTGAGAGTCCATAAAGCACAGACCATGTGATCACAGATTTAAAAAACTTCAGGCACAGTGGCTCATGCCTGTAATCTCAGCACATGGAGGCCCAGTTGGGCAAAATGCTTGAGCTCACGAGTTCAAGACCAGCCTGGGCAACATGGCAAAACCTCATCTCTACAAAAAATATATATAAAAATTAGCCAGGCATGGTAGTGGGCACCTATAGCCCCAGCTACTCCGGAGTCTAAGAAGTGGGAGGATCGCTTGAGCCCTGAAGACAAGAGATTGTAGTGAGCCAAGACCATGCCACTGCACTCCAGCCTAGGTGACAGGGTGAGACCCCGTCTTTAAAACAAAAAAACTTAAGACTGTTGCTTTGGAAAAGCCGTAAGGACGCTTGTTATCTATGAGTAATATTACTATTATTATGTTTTTATTTATATAATCAAAAAATATATCATAGAACTTAAAGCTAAAGACATGTAGAAACAGGGATTCTAACTAAATATAGATCCTAGGGACTGGGATTCATACACATATTTGAAGACATTGTTGAAATAAAGTTGTGTATAATTTGTATACACATAAAGGCACTTAAAAAGCTGACACCTGAGTCCTGTGTCATATATGGGGGTGGGACCCAAGATCCAAATTTACAGTAGCAGCTGAAAAAAATTAGCATAAATCTGTTTTAAAACAACCGAAATTTTAGGACCAAAAAAACCAATCTGTAGAGATACTTTCTCAACCCAGGGAAGAGAAAACTTCTGCAGAACAAAGAACTTTGAAGACAAATTTCACTTAAATATTACACATCATTTGAAGAACACGAGGGAGAGCCAATAGAAACAATAAACAGGATTCAGAACCTAGCAAACTGGAAATTTTAACTTTATACAGATGGATTTTATTATATTTTACTGTATGTCACTCTTGCTTTGGTTCTCATTAAGGGCCAATGCAAGACCTTTTAAAATATCTTAATTTACATCTCTATTAAGATTACGGATAATTTTTGAAATTCCCCTAGAGTGAGCTAAAGAACACTTATGCATAAAATTCAACATGGGGCACACAAGGTGGTTTGTTATTAGATGAATTAGATGGCAGTTGCCTGAAAATGGGAAACAATTAACTTAACTACCAGATTGCCACTGATCCCCATCTACTACTTTGGAGCTAGATAATCTATAACTTGAATGTATTTAGTCTATGTTCAGAAACTGGGGGGGAACTGTCTTCTCCAGTTCTTTTGGATGGCATTTTAATTGTTTAATGCTATGAAAAATGAGTACGCATTTAAAATGAAGCATCTGCAGCATCCCCAAATTTCAGAAACCACTTCAAGTTTAAAAGCTCAGATGTACACAGGAAATTCCAAACATCTTTCACTTTTTGATCACTTACTAATCTTAAGTACACTTCAACTTTTTTCTTGACGTGGTATTTCATTTTATACTTTATTCCTTTCTTTCATTTTGTTTAAAAATAACACACTAAAGCCAAAAGCATTTAAAAATGTAAGCCAAGATGAGGTGTTTTGTTGTTCTTATTGCAAAAATAGTGAAAGAGAACCATGAAAAACAGAATAACTACGTCTCTTTTAAATCATCCTGATCTATATGCATTTTGACAACGCTTGCATCTTTTAATCTTTGCAACCCTATTTCAAATGAGAAAACGGGATCTCAGAGAGGTTAGTGTTCAAGGCGGAACCCGAACTACTGTTTTGGGACTCCCTGCAGGATACTAAGAAAATGCTTTCCCATCCCCCAGCGCCGACATTTTACAATGTCTTCTCTGAAAAATAGACTTAAAGGGGAGACATTTATGAAATCCTGGCCGGGCGCGGTGGCTAACGCCAGTAATCCCAGCACTTTGGGAGGCAGAGGCGGGCGAATCTACTGGGGTCAGGAGTGCGAGACCAGCCCGGCTAAACTGGTGAAACCCCGTTTCCACTTAAAATACAAAACTTAGCCAGGCGTGGTGGCGCGCGCCTGTAATCCCAGCTACTCGGGAGGCTGAGGCAGGTGAATCACCTGAACCCGGGAGGCGGAAGCTGTGGTGAGCCGAGATAGCGCCATTGCACTCCAGTTCGGGAAACAGGAGCGAAACTGTCTCAAAAAATAATAATAATAATAAACAAAATAAAATCCCTTAGGAGAAAGGTTACATATTAGAATTATTCACAAAGGAAACAACCCACAAGCAAAAGAAATCTTGGAGACGCACCGGCCTGCGAGAGACCTGGTTATGCCTGTTCCTTTCTCGTTCATTATACCCCATCCCTTTTAAATGTTTCTTCATCGTCAAAATCCTAAATCTTATCATTTCCTTGAGTCAATCTGAAGGACGCCTCCAGCACCGTGCACACTTCCAGCCAAACATACGGATTTCCGGGCAAACTAAGAGTCACAGAGCGCACTGCTCCCGCCTCACAGGTACAGGACCCCAAAGGCACTTTGCTCTCCCGTTTCCGCCACCGACTCGTAGCCCCTTCCCAAATACCTGTTTATCTCCACCCTCTTCCCCATCGCCATTTTCCCCTTTAGCTCCTGAAGCGATTAACCAACAACAATGAGAAACAATGAGAGAGGGAGAGAGAGCGAGCAGAGAGAAGCCAAGGGAAAGCTTTCCTTAGGCAGTTTGTCAGGCACCGCCGAAGGCAGCCTCGAAGGGAGCTGGACCCTGAGGCCAGGGGAGAGAGGGCCTTGTGTTTGGAGCCCGACGCACTGATTGGCTGATTGGCCGCGACCGAGGAAAAACCCGGATGCGCTGGGCAGCGGTGTTGGCAGTCAGGGCTCTGATATTTGGGCACTTTTGGGGGTGCCGGTGTCCCGGGCCGATGGCGCAGGGTTGGGCAGGCTTCTCTGAGGAGGAGCTGAGGAGACTAAAGCAGACTAAAGGTAACAAGATGGGTTTGCAGTGGTTAAAGTCTTGGGTCTTAAGGGGAAGGGGCGGGGATGCAGCGTTGGCGAGGGAAGGGGGCGTGGAAGTGGCTAAGTTTGTGTTAGCGGAAGGCGCTGTTAAGTGTGGACTGGATTGAGGAAATTTCAATGGGGGAAGTACTGGGAGCCACGGCGGGAGGGGCAAGCCAGAAGATTGGGATTTTCTCTTAGGAAAGAGGGCCCAGGAATACACTGCATTGATTTGACTCTTTCCTTCTGAAGAGAATGGAACTTGGAAGAGGAAGTGCGCCCATAGCCGTGGTGTCTCCCTTAGGGAGGATTGCTGCACGCATCTACTGTTGGAAGGTTAGGGTCAGGGTAAAAGAAGGAGGAGCGGCGCACACCATATTAGAATTGTGATAAATGTATAGAAGCAGATTGAAAAAAAAAAATCACAGACATCTGAATAAAGGCAAAAATTCAGTACTTTTCATAGTTCACCTGGAGTGTTGCATTCACTTCTGGTTGCCAGATGATTGATTTTTGCAGTTCTTTTCAGTTTTTTAGAATCAGCAAACCAAAAGGGTCTTTGAGAGGGTAAATGTGAATACTTGATTTATTTATATACATAAATAAATAAAGTATATATTTATGTATATAAATACATAAATAAATGTATATTTATTTATAATATACATTTAAATTGTATATACTGACTTTGGTGTAAGCTAATCTTGTGCTTCTCTCTCTGGCTTTATAGAGTAATCATTGAATGGGCTTGTACAGTTGTTGTTGTTGTTGTTTTTGATGAAGGAATTGCTGATTGTTTATGGAAGACTTAGTAATACTAGTTGCACCTTGCTTGTGTTTGAAATTTCGCAATGATCTGTATGGTTATCCTGGTAGTGCACACAATTTCTGTGACAAGTTTACATCACTCTTGGTACCTTAATTCAAATACTTCATTTTGAGAGAAAATGAAATAAATCTTTTATTAGTGTTTGTGGGGAAATTGTATGTTGCTCTGGTAGCTTTTGCATTTTTAGCATAGATGTGAGAATAATCTAGGGCAGACAAGTGGGAAAGAAGTAAATTAGTGCGATAGGGCCAATGTATATTATATCTACTGGGGACGTTTTGACTGGTCCAGGGGACTTTAAAAACTATCATAAAGGTGATACCACACCATGTGGTTAATTGACTCTGTGTTGCTTGATATACTCAAATTCTTTTACTCTGTGTTTTCACCATCCATTCACTTACTCTGATGTACTGGGTACAAGTGCCCTGGCCTCTGGTCTGACTCCAGTAGTCTCATGAGAAGACAAATCATAATTATGTGATAGTAGATATTACAAGAGCTTGTTTCAGAGACAAGAGGAAACTCACTCTGCTGAGGATTGCATGGAGCTTGGGAAGATTTCACAAAGGTTGTGTGTTAGCAGAGGTGCATTCTCCAGGGTAAAGACGGCTTAATATAAAAATCTAAATTAAACAATGTATTCATTATGTAGAAGTCTGTTTTGAAATATCTCTGCAATTGGAGGTAGATGGAGGATGGTAAGGACCTGAACTTCAAGGCCCACTGTAGAGTGTGGAAACCAAATCACTAGTTTGTGACCACCTCGAGCACGGAAAATATGTTTACATCCTTGTATTCTCATAGCCCAACATAGTGATTGGCATATAGAACTCCCGGCTCTGCCTCTAAATCTTTTCACCTTGGATTCCTTATTTGTAAAATTAGAAGATTTCGTTCTTTAATTTTAAGGCTACTTCTAGCTGTTCTCTGTCCTTAAAAATATATTGAATAATCTGGGAAGATGGAGTTGGTTGCCAGCAAAAATAAGGACAATAGTACTCTGAAGACCCCTGTGTGTGCATTGAGGAACATGGTCAAGAATGTTGTTAATAGTCTTGTTTATAATATTAAGAAGTTGGAAACAACCAAAGTGTGCATTAGTAAGGGAATGGATAAATAAATCGTGGTATACTCATCTAGTAGGCTACTGTACAGCTGGTGGGAATATATTAATATTAACTGTAGCCACACGCATTAACATGTTTGTTAACACAGTATACTGTATGTAATTACACTTGGCCCTTAAGCAACACAGGTTTGAGCTGTCAGGGTTCACTTATACACAAATGTGCATTTAAAAAATTCAGTATTGGGGGGGATGCAAAACCTGAGTATATGGAGGGCCAACTTTTAGTATATGTGGTTTTCACAATGCCAACTGTGGGACTTGAGTATGCATAGTTTTTGGTATACCTGAGGATCCTGGAACCAATTATCCTCATATACCAAGGGTCAGCTGTATGTATAATATATACAGTCATGCACTCCATAACAGTATTTCAGTTAGCAGTGGACCACATATACAGTGGCGATCTGATAATATTGTAATACTCTGCTTTTACTGTACTTTTTCCATGTTTAGATACACAAATAACATTATGTTATAATTGCCTGCAGTCTTCAGTGTAGTGACATACTGTACAGGTTTGAAGCTTAGGAGCAAAAGGGTACTATATGGTACTTAGTACCATATAGCCTAAGTATATAGTAGCCTATGCCATCTAAGTTTGTGTACATACACTCTCTGATGTTTGCACAAGGACAAAATTGCCTAACAACGCATTTGTCAGAATGTATCCCATTGTTAAGTGACGTATCATTGTATATGGTGGGGAGGCAAGGAAATGTGATCAGGGAGGGGCAAATATATAGGGAATTTCAGAGGTATTGATAATTATGAAATCAGGTTAAGGCAAGTTAAGCTAAAGTAACAAATAGCCCTAATATGTCAATTGTTTAAAATAAAGATTTGGTTTTCATTCTAGTTTCATGTTTAATGTGGGTTTGGCAGGTGACTGTTCCACAGTCACTCCATCTTTTGGTGCTGTCGTGTAGGAGTTCACCATGGTAGGAAGAAAAGAAGATTGAAAATTGAACATTGGCAATTAAATGCTTTCATCAATAAATGACATGTGTCACTCCTGCTTACATTTTATTTACCAAAAGCAAGTAATATAACTTGGGGTACAGGAAATACAATTCTCTTGTGTCGTTTAAAAAGGGGATTATATCTATTCTTAAACAGTAGTTACTTCCACTACAGTCATATTTTATTTCTTAAACTTACTTTCTTTAAATAATTCATATAGGTTGGAAGAGTGTGTGTGTGTGTGTGTATGTATGAGTGTGACACATATATTTGATGTATGATCTATTTCATAATGAAAAATTGGAAGAAAGCAGTACAGCCACATGCTGTCAATTTCTAGTTAAATAAATTATTCAGAAGAGTTATTCCTCTACTGATTTTTTGCCATTACATTATGAATATCTTCTCCCAGTTTTTAACTTGTCTTTTCACTTTTATCTTTTTGATAAACAAAATATTTTGTTTTATTTTTTGATACTGGCTCTCACTCTGTTGTCCAGGTTGCAGTGCAGTAGTGTGATCATAGCTGACTATGACCTTGAACTCCTGGCTCAAGCGATCCTCCTGCCTCAGCCTCCCAAGTAACTGGGATTACAGGTGTGTGCCATCACACCAGGCTAATTTTCTTTTTTTTTTCTTCTTCTTTTTTTTTTTTGTAGGAATAGGATCTTGCTGTTTTTCCTAAGTTGGTCTCAAACTCCTGGGCTCACGCAGTTCTCCCCCCTCAGCCTCCCAAAGTGCTGGGATTACAGGCATGAGCCACCATGCCGGGACTTAATTTTAATATATTCAAACATGTCAACCTTTTTAAAATAACCAACATTTTCTGCATTTTAAGAAATCAGTTTCCTACTACAAGATCTATGTTAATCCGTGTTTTCTATTAAGAACTTTTGTTTTATATGATATGAGATATGGCTCTATTTTATCTTTTCCATAGAGATAACCATTTTCCCCCAGGTCTATTTATTAAATAATTCCACCTTTTGCTGTTGATTTTCATCCTACTTTTGTCATATACCAGTGCTTCATACATGTATGAATCTTTGTTCTGTTGCACTGGTCATTTGTTTATTCCTGTGCCAACACCACACTGTCGTAAAGCCTCATAATATTCCTAGTATCTAGTAGTCTGGTACTGTAGCTCTTCTTTAGAAGAAGCCTTGCTATCCTTTTTTTTTTTTTTTTGAGACAGAGTCTCCGTTTGTCTTCTGCAATGGTGTAATCTTGACTTACTGCAATCTCTGTCTCCCAGGTTCAAGCAATTCCCCTGCCTCAGCCTCTAGAGTAGCTGGGTTAACAGGTATCTACCACCACACCTGACTAATTTTTGTATTTTAGTAGAGATGGGGTTTCACCATATTGGTCAGGCTGGTCCTGAACTCCTGACCTCAGGTGACCCACCTGCTTCTGTCTCCCAAAGTGCTGGGATTATACATGTGAGATACCACACCTGGCCACTATTCTTGATCTTCTGTCTTTTCATATACAAATTTTAATAATTTTACCAAATTTAATGGAAAACCCATTAGGAATTTGGATTGCAATTTCATTGAATCTTTAGATCAATTTCATTTTATATTATTAGCATTACCACTAAGATGGTATATGTCTCCATTTATTGAGTACTTCTTTAAAGTCTCTTAATAAATTTTAGAGTTTTCCCTGTAAAGATATTAAAAACATCCTTTGGTTATATTTGTTCCTAGATAAGTGATAATTTCTGTTATTGAAATATCTTTCTTTTGATTGTATTTTCTAATTGTTTTCTGCTAATATATGAAAAATACAAGCCAAAAGAAAAGTCAACAAAAAACATTAATAGATATTTCCTAGAAAAGGAAATATGAAGAGATCACCACCAAGGAGCAGAGAATTACAAATCAAGAACACAGTGAGGTACTATTTTACATCCATTTGATTGACAAAAATTAAAACATCTGACAGTATTGTATTTTAAAGAGAAAGTGCATCCACAGTGTCTTATACATTGCTAGAGGGAATACACTTTGGAAAGCATTTTTGTGACCCAATAGTTCTAAATATTATTATTTATATAGTATGCCAAGCAAATTCTTGTACATGTAAAATAAGAGACACAATATTGAAATTTACAAAAGCAAAAGCCTGTAACCAACCTAAATGTCCATCAGTGGAAGAAGATCAGTAGACTCTAGTTTATTGACACGATGAAATGTTACACAACAAAATGAATGACTGCTGCATCATAGACAATATGAATGACTATTGACAGTGTAGTATTAAGTAAAATAGATGTACAGCACAAAACCCTTTTTATAAAGTTAAAACAACTAAGTAAACACTTTTTAGAAATATTCGTAGATGCAATATGACTATTAGAGAAGGAAAGGAATAATCAACATGATTCAAATGATAGTTTTCTGGGGTGGAGGGAGCAGGGCTTAAATGAAGGATATGGAGCGTTTATCACAAACTGGTAGCCCATTGGCTTAATTTAACCCAAAAATGTATGTGGCTTTTCAGCTTTGCCTCCTTCCTTCCCCCTTCTTCCTTTTTTTCTCGTTTCTTCCTGCCTGCCTTCCTTTCTTTCCCTTCCTCCCTCCCTCTTTCTTTCCTTTCTTTCTTCTCTATCTCTTTATTTTATCCAGTCTTTACATTTCTTTTAAGTTAACAATGATGATAATCATTGTGGTGTTTGCCAAGCCAGCTGTGCTTGTTGCCTTTGTTTGGGGGTAGGTCCGTGTACTAGATGAGCCATTGAATTGTGAGCAGAAGTGTTATGTCACTAGTGGGACAGAGCAATTAATTGCTGTAGCAAGACCTTCCTGAGCTCTTCTCCCTGTGTTGTGGTGACCAGCAACACTGAATACTGACTGTACAGTCAGCCTAGAGCCCTGAGAGACTAATCAGCAGAACCTCTCTGTTAGCCTTTAGTTGGCACATGGCATTAATGAAAAATAAACCTTGTGGTTTAAAACCACTAAGATTTGTCCCTACAGCATAATCTAGATTTTCCTGATGGATGTAGTTCCCTACATTTAAAAATCAAGATATTTTGCATAAAGTCTAAATTGTAACCATAAAAATCAAAATATCTGGCTATACTGAGCTAAATGTTTTAATGATAGCAGTTGTCTAAAGGCGACTGTGAATTGCCCCCTTTACACTAGACTTATGCTTCTCAGTTCACCAGTCTCCTTGACATTTGCAGCCCCTAATACACAGTGTGGGAAACAGTATATTCTGTGTTTAAGTGGCCTGATTTGCTTATTGTTTAAGATTAGCATTTTCTGTCTTGTAGGTAGGTTCTGTAAAAATACAAAATAAAATATGTTATTACCTGAATTTCAGAGGAACTATTAATAATTCAGCTAATGAGTTCAACAGGAAGGTAAGCAGGCTAAGTGATGTATTTTTGATGGTGTGAATAAAGATCAGAGCCCAGAATGTGTTCTTGTTGCAAGATATAGGATACTTTATGTTTCTGGCTAACCTCAACAATAACATTTGCTTTTGATAGTACTTCAGTCTTTTAAAAAATATTTTCTGTTCCTGTCTCATTTAATTCTTACAACAGCTTCATGCATTGAGTAGAGCAGGTTAATTTTTCAACCAGTTTGATAGATGAGGAAACTGAGATATTGAATAAATAATTGACTTACCTGAGGTCACTGAACTGGGAAGAAGCAAAGCTGGAATTGTGACTCTAGAGCTTTCAACTATACTTTGGGAAACTCAGATAATAAGCTGGTTTTGCTACGAAAGTCACCATGCCGAATTTCAAAGTCCCATTTGAGTTGTTCATTTACAAGGACTCAGAATTTCACTTCCCAGGCATTTTAAAGAGAATGCTATTTTTACATCTTATTAAATATAGTATGAATGTCAGTCAGATTCTCCAATTGTATGCCCTAAGATGTTAACACTGGTGTGGACAGTCCAAAAAGTATAAAAGAAGTATTATTTCATTTATAACTTAAAAAAAATTTCCCCCCAGTTGTTTTATGTTCTTCTATTGTTTTGCTCAGGCTACTATTAAAATTCGTTTGAATGCATTGATTAGAGCCTGACTAGGCTTTGGGAGTACAACCTTGGATTGTTCTGTAATATGAAGGAAAACGATTTAAGGTAAACTAGCCTTCCTAGAAATAAGAGACTTTACTCAATTACATTCCTGTTATAGCATCTTTGTATATATCACATATGTATCAAAGTGCCCTGAAAGCTGTTAAAAGTTAAGAGAGGGTAATCCCATTTGAAAATGCAACCACCATTTTGTTTCAGGAGAGCAGACAGAACCATAAATCAAATTTAAAACCAGATAATTTAATCATCTCCCTGGTTTGGTCAAAATTAGTTGATTTCTTTTGACAATTACGAAATCAAATTGAAAAAGAAACAACACGTTGTGACTCACCTGACTCACAGACGGATGGCCTTTCTCTCAAAATAAATTAAGAGACAGGCAGTTTCTGTTAAATATTAACATTATGATCTGACAACTATAGAAACTCTTAAGGAAGATGGCTGGTTTTCCGTAGACTTTTAAGAAAGAGAATAGTTTGGGAGAACCACTGGAATTATCAAAGTTTAATGTTAATTTTTTATTTTCTTAGAGGAATTATAATTATATAATACTCATACAGAGAAATTTTTCTCTCTTTTCTTTTACATAGATCCATTTGAACCACAGCGACGTCTTCCTGCAAAGAAAAGTCGACAACAACTTCAACGAGAAAAAGCCATTGTAGAGCAAAGCCAAAAACTTGGGCTTCAAGATGGGTCAACCTCATTACTTCCAGAGCAGCTGCTTTCAGCACCAAAACAGAGAGTTAACCTTCAAAAACCACCTTTTTCTTCCCCTACTCTTCCTGGTCATTTCATTCTCACCTCTCCTGTTGGTGATGGACAACCACAGGGCATTGAAAGTCAACCAAAGGAAATGGGACTTGAGAATTTCCATGATCACAGCAATGTTGACATTCTACCTCCAAAGCCAGATTGCAAATTGGAGAAAAAGAAAGTGGAATTGTTAGTAAGTCTATATGAAACGTCTATAAGACTTTTTAATGTAAACCGTTTTTCCCCAGTGGGCTTTGAGGAATATAATTTGTTTAATATTTTCTCTCTCATATTTTCAGTCCTAGAAATGTGGTGAATAAACTTTTGAAAAATAGCTACCACCTACATATAAGCTGGACACTGTTAGGCAATCTGTGTGTTTTGTTATTTAGTCTTCATAACAGCCTTACAATGCATGCTTATTATTTAAACTTTATAGATGAGGTATTTGGGACTCAGAAAAGTTGATACCTTGCTAAAGCTAATACACTGCTAATAGGTAGTAAAATTGAGATTTACATATAAGTCTATCTGGATCCAAAGTTTATGCCCTTTACACTCAGCAGAAGCAGTTCTTTGCATAATGCTTCTCCCCAAATTGACCCCTTTCTCCAACTTCCAGACTATTTCCATTGGCCCAGAAATTGGAACTTGTGGAGAGACATGAAGGGATGGTCAAAGGAGAGAGTAAAGGAAATTTAGGGGACTAATTATGTAACTAATTTCATCATTAGATTTCTTTTTATTCTTTCTTTACTGTCTTTGTATTAGAAACAGCCTTCACAATTTAATTTAGCTGCACTATTCTTGTGGAAGATGCCATTTTTTGATTTAAAAATTCTTTGAATGTTTTATTTGATAGCTTATGTTTTAATATATACTCTGATTTCTTGGTTTCCTCCTGATTTGTCACTCACAGAGGAGAAGGAATGACATTTGTCTCTGTTTTCCCTTTTCTGAGTTCCTTTCAAAGTATCATTTTAATTTTTTTCTAATCTCTGACATCTTTTTAATCTCTGCTGATCCAGATTTTATCCTGTGAGTTTAAAATGCTTCCTGACCACTAGGGGTTTACAACTAAGAAATCATTTTGACAAGAGTTATAAAACCAGATGAGTTATGAAACCTACATTGAACAAGTGCATACATTTAAGTGTCTCTAAGTGTAGTTTACTGGCAAAGGCCTGAGACAAGTAGGAGGTGAATTTACATTGAGCTGGACAATTCAGATTGGATGTCATAGGGAAATTTACTCTTTTTTTAGATACTGGGAAGAATTTTCATAAAAGACATGTCATTAAAACCATTCATGCAAAGGAGAAATTCTGAGGTTTTAAGGAGGAGAAAGGGAAGCTGTGTAGTAGAGAATGCTCAGCAGTAATAACCTAATTTCTCTGGGAGAGGTGGCAAAGGATAAGCCAGAGAATTAAAGAAATGAGGAAGGAGGCTAGGCGTGGTGGCTCACACCTGTAATCCCTGCGCTTTGGGAGGCTGAGGTGGGTTCCTCACTTGAGGCCAGGAGTTTGAGACCAGCCTGGCCAATATGAGGAATCCCCATCTCTACCAAAAATACAAAAAAATTAGCCAGATGTGGTGGTGCATGCCTGTAGTCCCAGCTACTTGGGTGACCAAGACACAAGAATCACTTGAACCTGGGAGGTGAAGGTTGCAGTGAGCCGAGACGACAGAATGCCTCTGTCTCAAAAAAAAAAAAAAAAAGAAATGAGGAAGAATCAGAAGCAGGAGATGAATAGTAGAAAATTAAAGAAGTGAGGAAGGATCTGAGGCAGGGGTTGCCTGCCTAGCAAGTTCACTGATGCAGCAAGATACCATTAAGCTCTCTGAGGGTTAAAGACCTCAATCAAAATAATGGTTAGAGAAATTCCAGATGTCTGTTGTAGATCATTTGGGGGAGAGTGCAGGGTGAGCTGTGGAACTAAGGTGCCTGATGAGGAGATGCCTACAATAGAAGTGAGAGATGACCAGTCCCAACACTAAGGCGAAAGGTGTAGGAATGGAGAGAAAAGAACAAGTTTAGAAGTGGTTACTAGATTTGGGAATAGACACATGATATAATGGCTATAAGAAGTGACAGTAATAGGAATAAATAGCTTTGCCAATTCCATATTTAATTTGAATTGACATCAAGCTCGTAACTTTATGGGAAGTTTTAATATATTTATTTTAGAATTGGACAGATTGTAAGATAATGCATGTTTTCAGATCTGTGAATTTTTTCTTTAGCCCAGCATTCCAGTCTTAGTCTTAGTGTTTTAATTTGTTTGAAAATGTCTGAGTTGGGCTGAGCATAGTGGTTCACACTATTAATCTCAGCACTTAGGAAGGCAGAGGCGAGAGGACAGCTTGAGCCTAGGAGTTCGAGACCTGCTTGGGTAATACAGTGAGACCCCATTCTCCACAAAAAAGAAAAAAAAAAAAAAAAAAAAGTCTAAGAGTTGGGAAAAAGTGAACAAATTGAAAGAAAATATTAACATGAAATAAACATTGGTTATTGTCTGAAGCATGTTAAGGTGGTGGAGACTTTATAGAAAACTGTAAAAGGTATAAATAATATGACGTCAGCTACAGACCAATTTATTTTAATCTCCATTCTGCATATAATACATAATTAACTTACACAAATTTCTTTGTACTCCTAAAAACATGCCACAGTATTCTGGCTTCCAGTTTGTGGGTTCTTAGATTATATACATATAATGGATTTCAGAGGTCCAATTTATGTAAGTCTCTTTACTTCAGATTATAGTCTTTGTTCCCATTAGAACAAAATAATGAACTACAGATGGGTTTCTTTTAAGAGGACTTTTGAAAGAACGTATACATAAATCTTCTTGATTAAATTTTATACTTAGGGGACTGAAAGTGGTAAGGGGTGGGATAGGGTAGCAGTTTCTTTCATAAACCCATTTTTATGCTTTTTTTGCTCCCAGGCAAGAAAAGTCTCGTTGGGAAGTCCTCCAACAAGAACAACGGCTAATGGAAGAGAAAAATAAACGTAAAAAAGCTCTTTTGGCTAAAGCTATTGCGGAAAGGTGAGGCACCTGAACCAGGAGAGGCTGTTTGTAACTTGTAACCAGTTCTGTCATGTGTTGTATTTATTTTCCCTTGTCTCTTCTAATAAACTGATTTTTTCTTCAGCCATTACTTTTAAGGCTAACTAAACTAACTATCTTTTGTAAGTGATGCTGAAATTCCAGTTATAACTTATTTTAAGGAGGACTTTTTAAGCACAGGGCATGTTAAATTTGTAAATATAGTTACAGTTAAAACTTAAAGACCTTCATTAGTGCTTCTAGTTTTAACCATCTACACATTCATAAGGGAAGCAGTAAATAGCCATCAGTATATGTAAATTAGCAACAAATGCTAGTTTTAATTTTTATGTGGTGAGGCCTTAATCATTTGATGTATAGAGGAATAAGGTTTTCTACATAAGTGACATACTCCTGTGAATCTTAATTGTGTTTCCTGTGGGCATTTTTCTTAAATAATTTGCCCCACCTCCACAAGTAGAAGATATGTGATATAGTTTAACTTTTCATTGATGACTCAGGGTCATTATTATGAGCACTGTGTGAGATTCAGTTTTGTTTTCACCTTCCAGTGTCTATCAGCAGCCCCTTAACATTTACAGCATTGTCCCAGCCCCACACAACAACATTCCCATTTGTCTCATTCTTCCCATCCCCCATCACTCTTGCTGCCCTTCCTTTTAGTTTGTTGTTTCTGTCTAATTTCCTGCGGCATTAGGAAACTAAGCTTAGTCAATAAATTAATGGTTGAAAATAGTGAAAACTAAATGCAAGGGAGCATTTAGTGTCATTTTCTCTTTAGACTTCCAGAAAAGTCTGTCAGACTGTTACTGCTTGAGGCTAGAGTATGTGTAGGGGCAGGAGAAGAGGTGGACAGAAGGGGATGGGTATAAGGGTACTTCAGAATTTTGTCTACAAGAGGAGCGAGTGTGTTTGAAAAATGATGGTTTTCGTTTTCTATAGCTGGTGCTCCTTGATCTTTCTTGAAGCGTAGGATATATGCAACTCACCGAGTGACTGTTTCAAGGGAAAAAACCAAGAGATAAAAGAGCAGTGCCCTCTTTTTTTAAATAGGTGATTATTTTAAAATAATTAAAGCATTTTAGTAGTCTTCAATTTCTAAGAGATGGGAAGGCTATTTACTGTGGTTTTACAAAAAGATGTACAGGCTTGGCAGTTCTCATAAGTGCTTTTGATTTTAGACAGAAAGCACCAGTATAAACAAAAGTGTAAGTAAATATAACATGTTTGAATTATTAATAAATGGACAATGAAGTACTTGAAGTAAAAGAATCATACTGTTAAGTGAACTTTTGTAGGCAGAAAGGAAAGGTAAATGCATAAGAGTAGAAATCAAGAGAATGTGCTATGTAACATAGTGGATTTATGTGGAGATTTTTCTTCTTCCTTCACAATGTGTGTGTAAATTTGAAATGAGTGAAATCATGATTAAAGGGTTGCTTTTGTATTTGCTTGTTCCATTTCTTAGGTATATATTGTACTTGGGTGAGGGGATTGAGAGATGATGAGGTTGGATATACTTTTATATAAGGAAAATGAGTGTTTTGATGTTCAACTCCATAAAAAATTTTGGGGACTAGTTGTTTTCCTAGAGAACAAGAACCAAAGCAATAAAAGTTTGGGGAAATGGATCCCAAGAAAGTTAAAACTAAATAGATGTTTTCAGATGTATAAAGAGATGTGGTTTAGTATAGGCACCTATCTGTTCTTAATATCAGGTAAGTATCAAACAAATAAAAATGGGCTTAGCAAGAAGAAGAATTAAAGACTGGAAATTTGGAAAGCTCTGTTGAATGTTTCAATGTGAAGAGAATGCAGATATATTCTTTTAGTGTTTATTCTCCTTACAGAATGAATATAAATATACAAATGAACTATTTTGTTGAGTTTTTTTGTTCTTATTTGTTGCTTTGTTTATGAAACATATGCAAATACAAAATTTGGAAAATTCAAATGTTAACTAGCATTTATTTCAATTTTTCTGATTTTTTTTTAACTTCTAAAATATAAATTGTGAACATATACACAGTATTTTGCTTTTTCACTTATATTGAATATGGACACATGGTTTTAAAATGTTCTTATTTTCCTACTCACATACCTGATTTTCTAGATCCAAAAGAACTCAGGCAGAGACCATGAAACTAAAGCGGATCCAGAAGGAGCTGCAGGCTTTAGATGACATGGTATCAGCTGACATTGGAATTCTCAGGAACCGCATTGATCAGGCCAGCTTAGACTATTCATATGCTCGGTGAGTTGGGGAAGTTGAATATGAACAAGGAGTATGATTTAATTAATGTTTATTGCCAGCTGTTCCAGGGGCTTTTATGTATGTATCATTATTTAGGCCTCAAAACAACCCCATTCAGTGCTGCATTTATTCCTCTTTCCTGCTAATTCAGGTGTCTCCTCTTCAGTGAAGTCTCCTCTAACTCTCCCCTACTAGTTAACCTTGTTTGTGTGACATTCTTGCATTATTTATTTACATTTACATTATTATTTGCATTTTAGTCTTTGCTGCTAAACCATCAGCTATTTAATGTTTGGAAGTTTTTTTTTATTCATCTTTCAAGATCCAGTAAATATATGAGTGATTTGCTCAACACTGTTATTTTAACACCAAGTCTGTGTTCTTTACATTAAAATTTTTGATACCTGATATGGTCCTATAGGATTGAAGCCTAGTTCTCACTTTAGCTTTCATCAGAGTAAGAGGATCTAGTTTATTTTTTAAAAGCTTATGAATATTTAAAAGCATGTCCTCTGTTTTAGAAATTTGAAATATTTTTCCTTTTTTATTTTCAATTATCCTCTGTATGAAATGGTTTGATACATGTTTCCTTGATTTCAACCATTTGCATTTTTTAAAAGAGAAAAAAATGCCATGGAGTATTTCTAAAATGAACTAACACATGTAATGAATTACATGGACTTTGCAGACAGATAAAAGGGCAAAAAACTATGTCCAATTTCAGGGTTTTCAGCCCTTTCAACATTGCTTTAATCATCCTGGTTTGTCTTTTTTCACAAGGGAATTCTGTGTTAATGACTCAGCTTTGTATCTTTCTCTGTTACACTAGAAATCAATCAGAATGCCTCATTAGGCCAGGGTAAACCACAACATCAGAATGTTTATATAACAATTTATTAAAGCGGAAATGCTTGATTGTGGTTTTTAATTAACTGTTGAGTGTTTAAGAAAGAGGCTAGTGGTTGTCCTTGTGATTTTTGTAATTGTTGTTGGACCATATGCTGTTCGACTTAATGGGTTGTCTTTATTAATTAACTACCTAAGTTAATGCCGTCAGTAGCTGATATCCAGAGGTTCCAGGTTTTCATTAATAAGGTCATTAAAAGAGGTAACAGATTTTATTTAACATTAAACTAAGCCTTGATTTGTAGCATATTTTATTCTCTGTAATATAAGTTTTCCAGAGGAACATTTGTATGCCTTTGTAGCCATTTATATGAATAATTCATATTGCAAGGTATAGTACTAGGTACCTCAGTAGAAAAGTAATTTGATTTTAATTGTGTCCTACGGGAAACTGGAGAAAGATGCCTTTTCATATTGAGTATTATATAAGAAATGTCATAGTTATGGCCATCTAAGAACCACAAAGAAGGTGGGATTACTAAAGGAGAAAACATCATATAGTCTATAAGTATCCTAAATGAAATTTTAGTAAGGTTTTATATCTTTAGTAACAGATGACAGTTTCCCATGGTACTAATATTGATGTAGTTAAATGTAAGTAGATGTTGTGTGCTGCTATCTTTGTATTTTATATATATATATATGGTGGGGGTAGAGAGACAGAGAGACAGACATGGAGTTTCGCTCTTATTTCCCCGGCTGGAGTGCAGTGGCATGATTTTGGCTCACCGCAACCTCCGCCTCCCAGGTTCAAGTGATTCTCCTGCCTCAGCCTCCTGAGTAGCTAGGACTACAAGTGCCCACCTCTATGCCCAGCTATTTTTTTGTATTTTTAGTAGAGGTGGGCTTTCATCATGTTGGCCAGGCTGGTCTCGAACTCCTAACCCTCAGGTGATCCGCCTCCTTAGCCTTCCAAAGTTCTGGGATTATAGCTGTGAGCCACCACGCCTGGCCGAGTGCTACTGTTTTTAAGTCGAAGCTCTTGCATTCAGTCAGGGAAACAGACAATTGTGACTAGAACCATAGTGTGTCTTGTTCATGCATAAGATTAAGGTATCATTTTCTAATTTGCATTTGTGGTTACTGAGAAATTACAGATTGGTAGGAAAATATTATGGTCCAGATTTAGAGTGGAAGATAATCCCTAGGACAGTCAGTTTTTATGAGAGATTTCCTTGATTTTTATTTTTTTTAATAAAAATAATATCTTAGTTCTGTAGTATTTGGTATAATGCTGTGTCCACAAAAGGTTCTTGGATAGTAAATAGGCCAGAATTTGCTTTAAAAATGGCTTCTGTAGAGCAGTGTTTGGATAGACACTTTTAAGAAGAATAGCACTTTGAGTGAGCCAATTTGAGAGAATTGCTGCTGCTGCTACTGCTACTGTTCACCACTAGAATTACAGTGTTGCCATATGTTGTGCAGACAAGCTTATAAAATCCAGAGTGACTGCATGTAGAACATGTTTTTAAGTCACTGTTGACCATCTAGGTTTCATAGACAGCCTCATACACACAAATGTATACCCACAGACAAATATTTTTAAATCACTTTATCAATATTTTTTAAGTAAGGTTAAAAGGGATTGTGTAAAACAACTTTGTTTTAAAATTTTAGTAAAAATGTAAGCATGGTAACTATCTTTGTATCAAGTAATGTTTGACTGACAGACATAAAAAAACTGAGAGAATCCTTACAGCAACACAGATAGTCTAGATACTTGTAAAATATTGGGTGTAAGTTCTCCCTACTAAAATGATTAACTCTGTGATAATATCATTTTTCCTTCTGCGCATAGAAATAATTGTTCACTCGTTGATTCTTAAGTTTGAGAAATTCACCTAGGATATATTTTTCTGAAGATGCATCTGAGACTTCATATATGATCAGTTTTATCATCTAGAGTGTAGAATGTGTCTCTGCATTTGTATTAGTTTCTTAGGACTGCCATAACAAGTAATCACAAACTGGGTGACTTAAAACAACAGAAATTTTTTGTCCTGCATTTTTGGAGGCCACACATCCAAAATCAAGGTGTCGGATTGTGATTTCTTCAAAGACTCTAGGTATCCATTTCTTGCCTCTTCCAACTTCTGGTGGCTGTAGGCATCTGCCGGCTTGTGGCCATGCCATTCCATTCTGTGTCTCCATAGTTATACTGCTTTTTCTTCTCTCTCAAAACTTCCTCTACCTTTCTTTTAAAAAGATGCATGTGATTGCACTTAGCGTCCAACTGGATAATCTGGAATAAACTCCTCTCAAAACCCTTATCTTAATCATATCTTTTTCCATATAAGGTGTAATTTTCACTCATTTGTCATAGAAAGTAATATTCACAGGTCCCAGGAATTAGGAAGTGAATATTTTTGAGAGGCTATTTTTTTTAGCCTACCACAGCATTCATCTTTTGATTTCTCTAACAGTTGTAAAATGTCTTCCTCTGTCAGTTGTCTACACTTTGCTAATGCTGAATAGGCAGAAAATGAAAAAATATTCTCAGCTGTGTTTAATGAAAACTAAAAACAGGTTACAAAAATAGTGTTTTCAGTTTTCTTTTATACGTTCTGGAGGTGACATAATACGTTGTATAGCACAGTAAAGAAGGTCAACGATGATAATTTATTGTATCATTCCTTTAGATCATTGTTTTCTTATTTTTATTTCTCTTTATTACAAATGGGAATAATTGATGAATAATGATGAAATAATTCCTAGAACGATGAAATGGCAAAATGTTTCAAGATACAGAAAATATAAAAATATTGCAATAGTTCTATAATACATCTTAGATTTATGAAAGGGTTCATTGCACCTCTCCAGTAATTGCAAAATAGAGATCATTTTATTTTTTTTTAAATAAGTAAATTTTCTCCTTATTTGAAAGACTTTTAAGAAAAGATAAATCATAGAATGCTACTTGGTACAAATACTGAGAACTGCTCAGAAAAGGAACTGAAACCTAAAAGTGGATCCATGGAACCCAGTGGTAAACTGAGGGTTAATGATTGAGTTTTTAAACATTTCAGGGGATACCAAAACAAAGAGACAATTTCTAGAATCCTTTAAAAATAATATTCATTAAATCATTCAATGCCTTTTTAAAATAAAAACAATTCTATAATTACATTCCAGTTCACTCAGTCTTACTATGTTATATATAATGCTCTTATTATTTTGTTCCAGAATGTCATCATATACTAATTTGGTATTACTCACCTGACCATAGGCTGGTAGTGCAGTTTGTGAAACTAATCAATATTTTAAACGTAAATCACTCTATAGGAGAATATATATTCGTATTTCTGGCCTAAAGGACTTTAAATAAATAAACAGAATACAGAATCTTCAGTGATTTTTCCAGGGTGATAGATCAGTGGAAACCTAGGGACCTATTTGCAGATGTTGATTTCAATTCAGTATTCATGAGTCCAGACTATAAATCTCTACTAATTGACTTTGACTGGCTGAAGGAGACCACAGACTTGCAGAGAAGGGAGGTTTGAGGCAGGGTCAGGGCAGGGCATTCACATACCTACAGAGAATGTCAGAGCCCTTGGCTTGTTATAAGAACATTACATAAACAAGGTATGCTATAAAGTATGGAAATAAGGGAACTAGGTATCCAGCAGAATTCCTTTAGAGTAATTATTTTAACATAGAGAGTTACTGAAATATAATGGGTGCTCTCATTCTTGCATTTACTATATTTATAGTGAAAAAAAGGAAATACAAACAACCATTATTTAAATGAGTTTTCAAGTTTAAATACCAGATCCCTGGATTTTGCGTAATCTTAATTTTAAATCCAAGCATACTAATGTACCAACAGTACTTTTTTATTCTGGTTCTCTAAAGGAGAAGTTCTGTTTCTTGAGGCACAAGAATGGAAGCTTGCCCCATTTATACTATTTAATCCTCAAAACTCCTATGAGATATTATTATCATCATCATTTTACAGATAAACCCAGACTGAGCTTAAGTAACTGCCCAGAGTCACTGTACTGGAATTTTCAATTATTGCATAGCTTTTCCCCAACCCCATCCACAGGAACCTGGCTGTGTTTTGTACTTAGGATGCTGACCCTGGGGCATACCTAATTAGAATAAAGATGGGCTGCCGACTCCAGTACATTTAATCCATAGGCTGAACAGTGGTTTATGGGATGACCTGACATTAAGAGTTCTATTTAAACTGAGATGAGCCCTGCCAACCCAGGTTCTCCTCTGAAAGTATGGAATTGGATCATTGAGAGATTGAGTGGAGTGAATATGATATAGAGTGCAAGTGTTGGCCATATTGGGCTGTTTCGAAGCTAAAATGAGAGAAAATGTGTTGCTTCTAAGCATTGAAGAAAAAAGCCTTTGATTCTGATGACATGACTATGAAATTGCCTCTTTTATCCTACAATGAAACCCAATTTTTACCTGAGCTAGTTTGGTTCTTTGCATCCACAAAAAACTTTGACCAAAATGGGTACACATGGTAAATGTCAAAGGAAGGTTTTGAACCCTGGGTTGTCTAAAATGAAAGCCGTTTATTATTTTCACTGTATTTTCTTCCAAGACAGAATCCTAAATTAGAAGATATACCTGTTTCTTTTTTACTATAACTCTTGGACTAGAAGCTACTTACTACATTAAGTTGATGTAGGCACTCATAGCAGGTAAAGCAACGTGGCCATCACAACTGCTAGTGGTAATGAAATTGAAGAACTAGTTGGAAATCAACCTTTTTTCTTGCAAGAGAGGAAGGACATTCTTGTTGACAGAAAGAAAAGCAACAAATTGTATAGAAAAGGCAAAGACAGTAAATGAAGATAAGATAACTCTTCTTTTTGTATGGACCTAATGCAAAAGAAAAAAAGGAAGATTGCAAGGTGACTTTTCCAGTAGAGTTGCCCTACTACACATAAGACTGGTGTTACCTATCAACAGAGTTTATACATGTGTAAATATGTAAAATTTCCTAATAAGAGCATAAGAGGAGTATTGGAAAGAGTGAGAACAACTTAACCCAGGGATTCTCAACTGAGAGCATTTTTATCCAATAATGGACATTTGGTAATATCTGGAGACACTTTTGGTTGTCAAGACTTTTGGGAAGTACTGGCAACTAATGGGTAGAAGCCAATGATGCTGTTTAGCATCCTGCAGTATATAGGACAGTTTCTCACAACAAATAATTATATGGCCCCAATTGTCAGTAGTGCCAAGGTTGAGAAATCCTGTGTATACTGATGCAGAGGTTTTCTACTTGATGTTTACTTCTTGCCCTCACCCAGTATCACTTTGCTGGGTGTTCTGTCCCATTTATATTCATCTCCCAACCACTGTCCGTATTCTTCTCCGTCATCAGAATTTTTCTTTTTTTTCTAATTCATTAATCAAGAGATACGATTTTCTACTTTTTCCATCTCTTCTCTTCTCATAAATTTAACCAGCTGTGTGCTGAAGCTAGCTTACTCTAGTTCATGTGGATTTTGTGTATCTCCTCCCAATTCTGCATTCAGTAATATCACCTTAGGGGCTTGAAATTGGATGGGGTGGTAGTATTTATACCTTGGAAATGTAAATGCTACAAATCAGGACTCCCCATCCTCCCACTCCGGGGTTAGCATACCTCTGAATTAACCTTTTAGCCTGCCTTCACTCAAAAACAGCTTTGGAAAGAAGAATTATTCGTGCAGAATAAGATGTTATATCAGGTGAATCCAAGTAAGGCTATTGTGAAAGTTCCAGCAGCCATTGCTTGGTTTGCCTAACATGTAGACAAGTGTTTGTAAAGTATTAATATTGATATCTTCATTATATATTTTTTCCCAGTTTTGGAGTTTATTGTTTCTAGATCCTCTTTTGAATGTCTTCTTCAATGGAAAACTGATGGACCTATCTTTATACACATCCTTACAGGAAGCGGTTTGACAGGGCTGAAGCAGAATATATTGCAGCAAAGCTAGATCTACAGCGCAAGACTGAGATAAAAGAGCAACTCACTGAACACCTTTGTACAATCATACAGCAAAATGAGCTCCGAAAGGCTAAGAAGTTGGAGGAGTTGATGCAACAACTAGATGTACAAGCTGATGAAGAGACTTTGGAGCTTGAGGTGGAGGTAGAGAGATTGCTACACGAACAAGAAGCAGAAGCAAGGAAACCAGTGGTTCATTTAGAGAGGCCATTTCAGCCTGCTGAGGAGAGTGTGACATTAGAATGTGCTAAAGAGAACAAAAAGTGTCAAGAACAAGCTGTTTCCCCAAAGGCAGACAAACAGTGTGGAAATTCCAATGGCATCCCCTTTCTTAGTCCAAACTGCCCAAATCAAGAAGGTAATGACATTTCAGCTGCTTTGGCCACATGAAGTTCTGGTATTCTTTTGAACTAATATGGCATTCAGTAAAGTATACTTTTTGCAGTAGATTATGCCCTTACCTCCAATAAAAACCTATTTAAAACAATGCTATGAATTTTGAATGATTAGCTTTCTTAAGTTAATATGTTTGGCCATTCTAAAATCCGAAATTATGATAATTTTATTTCTCAGGGTATATTTCATCTTTATTTTGGCCTAGTTCTTTCAGTGTTCATTTACTCTTTTTACTGAATAAAATAAATGACTTAAAAGGATGGGAGAAAAACTACGTGCTTGGAGTGTTTTTAGACCAGGTAAATATAGAAAAGTAAAATGGAAAAATGATACTCAATACATAGCTGTACTCATTTCATTTCTCCTGGGAGAAGTATTAAGACTTTCTGAAAGTCCTATTTTATTTAATCAGTAAAAAGGCACAAAAATTACAATGTGAAAAAGAGAAAGACAGGAAGAGAAGAAAAAGTTACAGGTTGAATTATCTATCTGGATATCACTAGAGTTGTAAAACACAACTTGGAAATCGGAATTTATATGAAGAACCAGACAACTTAAGCCAGCATCACTTTTGTCTTCAATTTGCTTTAAATGGTTTTAGTTTACAGCCTGCGTTTTGTTCTTTGAAACACACACGCACGTATCTGTAAATATATTATATATGTAATTTTACTATTATATTGTCTTTCTTTTAATCAATGAATTGATTAAATTTAGACAAAACATTTCTAAAGCGAGGCTGAAAATAATATAGAAAATCTCATTGCTACTTTTGATTATCAAAAAAAGTTACCTATAAATATGTATTTGAATGTTGGACATAAATTAACCTGTCATGAAGGATTTAAAATGTTAAAATGCTGATTTTCTTATTAGTTTGTTAATTGCCTGTTACTAATACTTGGCCAATACATTGTGCTATATGTAAATGTGTAAGTAAATATTGTAATTTTCTCACAGTCTGAATATTACATTAAATTATGATTTATTTATCAGAAATTCCAAAAAGTAAAAATATTACCTTTGAAGACTTTTTTTTAAAAAAGAATTATTATCCCAAAACATGAGGACAAATATAAGATTGTATCCATAAAAGTTTCTGGAAAAGTTAGGGACATCCTGTTTTTTTTTTTTTTTTTTTTTTTTTTTGTTTTGGAGACAGAGTCTTGCTCTGTCACACAAGCTGGAGTGCAATGGTGGTATCTTGGCTCACTGCAACCTCTGCCTCCTGGGTTCCAGAGATTCTCCTGACTCAGCCTCCTGAGTAGCTGGGCCTATAGGCATCCGCCACCACACCTGACTAATTTTTGTATTTTTAGTAGAGACAGGGTTTTACCATATTGGCCAGGCTGGTCTCGAGCTCTTGACCTTGTGAGTCCACCCACTTTGGCCTCCGAAAGTGCTGGGATTACAGACGAGAGCCACCTTGCCTGGCCATCCTGTTTTTAAAAGGGTTTGTTTGAGGGTATTATCTTCTAGTAATATAGATGAGCTTTATATTTTGTAATTTGAGTTGAAAGTATAACATTCCATTACTGACTTCTCTAAATAGAAGCATTTTCAAAGATAGCTGTGTTTTTATTTATGAATGGCGAATAAAACTTGGAAGTTTCATTGTCCAACACACACTTATTTTTCTAAGGAATAAACAAATCTGATGTACTTAGAGTGTGTCTTTCATTTACCTTAAAAAAGGTTTCAAACAGTTTCAGTATGTATTCTTAAGCAATGTGTGGCATTAATGCATCTTGGATCTCCTTGTGGTATATACAGTTATTTACTTTGGTTAAGCCTCTGTTAAGGAAAATTTGTTGTCAATGAGGTTTTATAATATTGGTTAAATGTAGGTATGTGCAATCTTAATTCTCAGTCTAAACACTTCAAAGATACATGAAGAAATGAGAACCATGAAAAAAATATAAGTTAGAGGAGACTTCAGAGATAATCTAATCTTTTTTTTTTTTTTTTGAGACTGAATCTTACTCTGTCACCCAGGCTGGAGTTCAGTGGTGTGATCTCAGCTCACTGCAACCTCCGCTTCTGGGTTCAAGCGGTTCTCTTGCCTCCGCCTCCTGAGTAACTGGGATTACAGGCGCCTGCCACCACACCTGGCTAATTTTTGTATTTTTAGTAGAGATGAAGTTTCGCTATGTTGGCCAGGCTGATCTCAAACTCCTGACCTCAGATGATCCACCTGGCTTGGCCTCCCAAAGTGCTGAGCCACTATGCCCAGCCTTATTTTATTTTATAGTGAGGAATTTGAGAGCCAAAGATTTCAGTAGCAGCTTATTGGCCAATGGGCTTTTTTGAAATTTAAAGTGCTAGTAAAATTGAAGTTTCGTATTCCAGATATGTCACTTCCATATTTCAGGCTGTGAAGTTCACTGCACTGCATCCCTCAACTTGGAAATTTTGCTTTATAACCTGTTGAGGAAGTTGTATCTGTGTGTGTGTGTGTGAGAGAGAGAGAGAGAGAGAAGTGCTTTAAATATGGCTGTAAAAGGTCCACTGAACCCATTATTTTGAAAGAAATGTTATCTTGCTTGGCTTTCCTAGGGTGGTATCAGAGTGCTCAGGTGATGATATAAGTGACAAAATCATATTGCATCAGTTTTATACAAAGGCAGCTGTATCCCACGTGTGGGGGGAATAAGAGCAAGTGAATGAGAAGGGAGGGTTCATTGGTATGAGGACCATATGCACTGGCTTTTCCAGGAGAGCCCTGATGTAGACATATTTAAAATAGAATACAGTTGAAAGGTTTTGATATATAAATTCACAATAATTGTTAATTTCTGTGAAGGAAATTATTGGTTAAAAATTACTGCCATGAGTTTATTGCAGCACTTTGTAGAGCTATCCCTCTCTGGGGTTAAACATCTCTCCTCATTGCTTCCACTTCTCAAATTGCTAGAGCAAAGATGTATTAGGATTCTTAGTGATGTGAAAGGTAATCCAGGGGCCACTTACTTCGTGTTATCTCACTTGTTCCATTTAAAAGACAGTCTTTACCAAATTTTAGTAATTCTCACCTTAAACTACACTTTTACTTGGATAAGCTTAAATTCCTGAATTTAAAGGCTTTTATATCTTGATTTTCTATTCCTTTCTTTAAATTAGAGCCATTTTGGGGGGTTTCAGAGAAGCAAAATTTCTTAAAGCACAGTCCTCATTGCACTTTAATAAAAACTTGAGTTTTTCACCTCTGCATAGTTCTGCTGAATTACAGCACTTGCAGGTGGTAAATCTTTGTACTCACTGAAGACAGCTGGTTTTCAAGTCAGATGATAACCTCTTACTGGAATTCCTACAGCGTATTTCATTTCTGGATAGGCATTTGAATTATAGAGTAAAAAATCAGCTCTCAACCTCTCATTCTTTGTTTGCGTTTAGCAAGATAGTACTCTCAAGGAACTTATCTAAGTATTAAGCAACTTCCTCTTCATGGCATTGACACAAAATGGACTCAAGTTATTTTGACCCAGGCTATTCCCAGTGACCTTTATAAATGATGTTTTTAGTTTTATATTTCTAAGGAGCCAAGTCAGCTTTTAAAAATGCCCTGATAGATGTAACTCAGTCTGCTAGGCAAGACCTGGGGCCACTCTGGATCAGGATAATTATACCCTTTCTCAACATAGATCTATCCTAGGCCTGATTTGAACTATTCTCTGGCAGGATGAAGCCGGACACTGTTCTCCGATCTGCCTTTATCTTAATGTCAGGCTATTTTTGCAAGCACCTAATCCCAAACAGCTGTCTTGAAAATACAGTATCATTTATTTATGCAATTGATCAAACAACTGAGTATAGCTATCTATAGGGACAGAGCTATATAAGAGTAAGAGGCATATGATCTCTGCTTTTTGTTCTTCAGAAGCTTATAGTTCAAATTGAAGCAATAAGATTTACACTTATAAAACAGGCTGATATGAAACAATGTCTTACTGGAAAGCAAAATAAGTGATTGGAACACTGAACATGAATGTATCCTCCAGAAGTCCCAAATATGTAGAACAGTCTTAATTTTATTCTATCCAGTTGTTTTGAAATTTCTGCATGTGCCTAGGACCTGGCATATCTTTCAGTTTGCCTTTAGCACTATGGAGCAACACGTACTAAACCAAAACAAAAAAACCCAAAATATCTATGTTAATACAGTATATGTAATCCCAGCACATTGGGAGGCTGAGGTGGGCAGATGGCTTGAGCTCAGGAGTTCAAGACCAGCCTGGACAATGTGGTGAAACCCCATCTCTACCAAAAATGCAAAAAATTAGCCAAACATGATGTTGTGCACTTGTGGTCCCAGCTACTCGGAGGCTAAGATGGGAGGATCAGTTGAGCCTGGGAGACAGAGGTTGCCGTGAGCCGATATCATGCCACTGCACTCCCGCCTGGACAACACAGTGAGAGTCTGTCTAAAAAAATAAATAAATATGTGCAGATTTTGAGTTTGAAAAGTATAGTCCCCAGGACAAGAGTGAATTGGAAAGAGGGATTTAAAATAGGGGACCCATTGAGATTCATCAGTGTAAAACTCCATCAAGTATTGGGAAAGATTAAGAATAGACCTTTCTGACTGAGGGTTGATGGTGTCTTTTTAGATGAAAAATAACGTTAACATAAATGTTAGAGCTCATTACAATTATTCAAGGTCTTGTGGAGCCAAGGGGCAGTTAGTATTGCCTAAGTCAGAACAAGGTGTAAATGGAACAAACTGTGAGGTCAAGGATAACTCAACATGGAGGCTTGTTCAGAGATCACACATAAGGGAGGTCTTTTCAAGCCAAATGATTCCAGGAGCCTAAAATAGAACCATAATTAAGCAATAAGACGTGACAGGGATAACATTTCTTAGTGATTATAGCATGCCTCAAGGGATAAGTCACTAGGCCAAAGGTTCAGATGAGGAGTGAAATAACCCTGCAATGTATAGTGTCACTACTGTTGGAGAAAGAGAAGGAAATGAATAACTGGAGTTAGAAGAGTCATTTCATGAGCCGTTACTTCAGTTGTTGGGTAATACTATCGTGTATAGTACATGTGGCCATTAGTTGTATCCAGCATTCTGAAGCTGTGTATTTATGCCAGAGCTTTTACTAAATTTAAAACTACAGAATTAACTATATCATATCTGTAGCCAAGCAAAAGCCAGGCAATTCAGACGTAAGCTGGAAAATCAGTAGCCATTTAAATATGGAAGTACAGTCTGGTAAAATTATCATTACAGTTGCTTAGACCTGAAGCAACCATGCTGGGTCATTTCCCATACTATGGCTCCTTCACCTCAGGTACCTTTCCCTCAGAAATTACCAGTAGACATAGCTCCAGTGTCAGATAGAGCATCTCAAACTTTTTAGTCTGAGCCTTTCCTTCCCTACCACTATGCTGCTGGTGGAAGAGAGGGAGGACCCTAGACCCTAGAGCTAGCGATCAGCTAAACTCCACACTATGGTTGTGACAGATCTTTCACAGGATGAGAGATAAGATGCCCAGTAGCCATACGGTAGAGTGAGAAATACCCAACTCTGACAGGCCCTGGAAAGCCCTGCAGATAGAAGCAGGTATCTTATTGCTGTATTCCTTTCCATGTTTCTGTCTGAGCAGTTCAGAAGATATAAAACGAAGAGGACAGGGTCTCCTGTGGTCCTGCTAGTCTCCCATGGCACAGGACAGGTCTTTATTCTCCACAAAGTCTAGGCAAACAATGGCTTCTCTTAGCCTAAGCCCTCTTCCAGGGGACTAGTGCTCTTTCTCTCAGAATATGCTCTTTGGAGAATATCTGAAGACAGTTACTTGAATCTTGGGGAAATTTTAAGTTAGTGGGTTGCTTCTCACCAGAGTTTTGCATTTTAATGCAATGGAATATTTTAAAGTAATGTATTTTAATTTGTGTAGTGTAAGTCTTAGCCCCCAGCTAAAGCAATGTCAAGCATCAGAGAGCAGGTGAGAGAAATGGGGAATGGTGTACCTGGAGAGGTCTTGAGGATGTCCTAAAATTATATCCTAGTGTTTGAGCTGAGAAATGAGTCCCTGAAGCCTTTGCCTATGCCATGATAATCTCCACTGGAGGAAAATGACCCCAACCTGTCCTGTTCC